GAAAAAAAAAAAAAAAAAAAAAAAAAAAAAAAAAAAACCAGACCATTCATACTTTTTCCAGCTTTAATCACAGAACAAGCATTTAAATCAGGATGTAAAAATGACTACCAATTTATTTATTACTATTTATTTTTAACTTTCATAATAATGAAAATGGATCACAATCATTTTACTTTTTATTAAACCATTCATGGACTCCCTGGTATTGTCCACACATCCTCAAATTAATTTTAACTTGCCATAAATCCCAGTGTTTTCAAGGACCTCCAGGCATCCATAGAAACTGCTTTGGAAAACATTGGTCTAGCTTCAATGCCTAGTGTTTTATCAACTTGGCTATTCCTACTCAATGACAAAACCTTCAAACACTTAAGTTAAACTGAAAGATCCATTCAGAGACCCATTTTTGTGAATGCTTGAGAAGTAGGTCCTATTATTGGGAGAAAGAGCTGTTTTGTATAAGACTACATATTCATCAGATTTTGTCTGAATTGGAAATCCGAACATCTAATCCTCTCCTTGTAAGTGACAGCTTAACATGTTATTTTTGCTTTCCAGACAACGTTTGGTGTCTGGAAAGCAAAAATGTTGCTATTATATATAGAAACAAGCACTGAATTAATAAATAAATGTTTTGGACTCTACTACAGAAATGGAATCTATTTCCACATCACTTTTCCATTACTATTTATTATTTTATTGTGTCATTTCACTAGATGTGCAGTGTTACTCAGGCAGTGTACCAATTAAAATGAACTCTCAACACTGCTTTTTTAAATGTTATATGGTTGATAACAACTTGTATGCCTAAAAATTTTTTTCTATGTAAAATTAATATCATAAATCAGATTTAGATGCTCTGAACTATAAAATGATTTTTTTACAAATATTTAATAAAATCAAATATAAAAAATTATAGGTTAATTGATAATTTCATTATGTCTAATAATTATTTTTTTAGTTTATTCTCTTTCTTTTATGTAAATATAAATAGATTTAAGAACTAAATAAATGAATACTTAGGTTGTAAAAATATTTAAATGTTAATTATTTACTTCAAAATGATCAACAGTCGCTTCCATCAGTTCTTCAGAATATGGAGGATTAGCTTCAAAAGAGCCACTGATTGGATGAAAATTCAAAATTGGACTAAAAAATAAACATTTTATTTTATTAATACATTGGATCAAATTCTTTCATTAAATTAATATTGTATTTATTTCAATTTACCCTCTGGATCCAAAAAAACTATCCGTATCTGGAAATGCAGAACAGTACTGGCGGAAGTAAGAGTTTAAAGGTGATGCAAAACATTCAAAAGTTACACCGAAATGTTTGTTTAAACTTTCTAATACAGACACAGGTAAAGCACCTTGCGTTCCATGTCCTTCATTGGGAGACGACCCAAAAAACGTCTGAAATAAAATTAACAAGTTTTAAAATAAGTTATGATATTTATATATGTACTCTGAAACATTTCTTACGCTTCTTACTTGATATCGTTTCAGCATACACCATACTCTAGTAAGAAAATTTTCAAATTTGCGATCATCTGTACAATTCCATCTATACAATTGTTCCTAATGTGAAAAGAGAAAAAGATATAGATGAAATTAATTACTGGTTATTTTTAGTTACTTTTACTTACTAGCTTTTCCATGACAAGTTTTTAATCAAATTAACTTATTTAGCAATTGATATCCTCACACTACATGCCATCCATCTGAATGTGTAAAAATTTTGGTAAAAAAAACTTCTGCTTATCACAGGCCTTCAAAAAACTAGAAATTTTCCACCTTGCACCCATTCTCATGAACAATTTCCCCCCCCTCATAATTGCATGCATAAAACAGTGATTTTCCACTCAGATGCCATTTTTAATGTTGTCAGTGATGAAGACATCTCACGATTGCTGCAAGAGAGTCACGATGTCACGCATGTTTGTCAACCATGCATGATGTCATGATATCATAGACTCAAGCCGCTACAATCTTGTCTCCATAAAATAACCTAGAACACCATGACCATCAACAATTTAATTTTTTCACAAAAAATACAGAAAAATAATTTTCTAGCAAACTCATTTCACATTAGTCCATGCTACTGCAAAGTTGGTGAAGCTTCCTATGGATAAAGAGTTAAGGACATTGTTCTGTAAGCAAAGCAATATGTTGTAAATTAAAAACATATGATCTTAAATTTGGCAATACAGAGAAGGAGACATCACAGGATTTTTCAGAATTGTCAAATTCAAGGAATAGCAATTATGTGAAGTGTACATGTAAAAAATCAGCAGAAAATTGAATTTGGCATTCAGCCATACTAATGGAAACTGCATGCCATCACAGGTTAAAATTTCTTTCTAATTTATTCAATTAGGAGACAAAATAAATTTAATATTGATCTTATTGAGATACGAGATCAATCTAATTTTAATATTTTAGGAATTTTATTATCTATAAAATTTTTTTGATAATCTTGTTTTTTATGTTACTGCTTTATTTAGATAGTGATAAGAAATTAAACAATTCAGCTATTACAAAGTGTTTGAATGTCTTTATTATAGTAATCTCTCAAGTACCAATTGCTCAAATAATAATGCAAAGAATTACTTCAGTGCTATTTTGAGTAATCATTTATTTGAATGTTTCTTAAATAGTAATTGATTAAATCTATTAATCACTCATTATTCAAAGAATAAATACTAAAGTTGTTTATTATCTCAAGTATAATCTTTTATCAAATTAAGATACTGAAAATTGATTTTATAACATTCCCAATATATTATAAAATGCAATTTATAAACATTTCTATTGCTTTTCTAGATTTTTGATGCTAAAAAGTTTTGCAGTGAATCCTTTAAGGAAGAAGATGAATGAGATAAGTTCCTTCAAATATTAAATGATCTTATTTGTACACACAATAAAATGAAGAATATGAAGAAAGTAATAGTAATCCAGCCAAGAGACTTTGTAGTGTGGTGTGTGAAAAAGAAACATATGATATAAGATAAAAAAAGTGCCAAAACAACAGAATATGAAATGCACAACATGCGCCTGAATTAATAAAATTATTACACACCAAACCAATCCACCAATTTGTGTAACGGACAATAAACAGGAACATTATGTTGTACTTTTATGCATTGTGTAATTCTTCTAAATTTCAATATCATTATGCCTATATTTTGTACTGCTAAGTAAATTGGCTTTTTTCAGTTGCAAACAGACTCAAAGAAGTCATATGTGAGAAACTATAGTAGTGTAATGTATGTTCTTGGAGAATATTTTATTTTAAATGTTTCTATAGTTATAAATGTAGACTTAATAAGAATAAATTGATATTTTTAAAAAATAAACACAAAACTATTATGTTATTACTAAAATTTCATAAAATTATTTAATTACTATTGAGAACATTTTGCAGAGAAATTTCTGATGTAGGATGATTTCTATTTAACAGACATTGCAGAATTTATTATATAAAACTCCAAGATATAAAAAAATGCACTCACTCCTTCATGCATACATTAAAAGCATATACAACAATAAAAGGACCTAGTATATATACAGCTAGATACAATAATGGAAAGTGGTAAAATTTACTCCTCCATTTATCATACTGCCAGCAAGTAATTATCAGAAACAAATTCTTACATTTGTATAATCTAAATTCCTATTTCAAATATTGCTTGTTGAATTCTAAAATTTATTATTATTTTGACTCATCTTATATAATTATTTAACACAACTACATAACATTAAATTAGAATACAACTAGTAGCTCGGGATGCCCCCTAGTGGGCGTTCTTTACAAATTTCCATGAGGCATGGTTCCTTTGACTTTTTTGTTCCTATCAATATGCTCTACAGCTCTGTTAAAGTCCCAATGGTAAGATTTACCCTCTGCATGAAGAGGTGGTGACCCCACCAAACCGTAGACCCCTGTACTAACAATAAAGTCAAAGGAACCATACCCCTACTCACAACCCTTCGCGAGATATAAGCCCCTGAAATAATAAATTCCTATTACAAATATACTGAATTATTTATATTGTTATATTGACCAAATAATAATAAAAATTTATATTGTTAATTTAAATAAGAATTAAAATTGTTAATTTGAATGTTTGAAATATGACACATGATAGGGGCGCCTCTAGTGTCCGTTATCAAACGGTTATGGGACAGACACCCGTTGAATGGGTTATATATATATAGATATTTTCAATTAAAAATACACTCTTAAATTTCATGGGCAATTAAAATGGAAATAATAAATCTATTTTTTACTGTTGTATTGTATTGTATTGTATCGTATCAGCTATACGTTAAGAATATTTGAAAATAATCTACATAACATATTTTTTAAAACATTTGCATTTCCATAAATAAAAAATGTTTACCGGTTCAATATGGGAGAAAATTTTTTAAATCACTAAATTAAATAGATATTGTATCAATTGTAGATTTTATGACATAATAAAATTACAAAACTGAGCATATGACTTACTAAAACATTAGTGTAAGTATATACATAATCAAAATTTAATGAAGAACTTGTTAGAATCAAAGAAAAGAAAAGGAAAAAAAACCCAAAATTTTTATCTTAATATTTTATTACTAAATATAGGAAGAACACTTACCAATTTTTGAAAATATAAAGTGTTCATTCTAACAACATCACCCCGATAACGCAAATGAGTAATTTCTTTGTCGGTGAGTAATTCCACGTGAGGTAATCGTGGCGAAGAAATGGCAAACTGAACAGGATAGCAAAACACTTTTTTTGGATTTGTCACTTGTAAAGAACTTGTAATTTCTAAATAAGAAATATTTTGATTATATATATATAAAAATTTTTAACAATTATTTACTATAATAAATATAATGACAAATCATTATTATACAAACCTTCAATTCCGTGTTGATTTAAGATACTCCAATGTTTGTTATGTATTTTCTTCGCATAATCACAGGACATATAATAGATTTTTGAACAAATTCCCTCAACAGAAGCCTTTGCAGCTTCCATTAGGTGTGGTTGGCATTGCTTTTTCAAGTGTGCTAGCCTCTCCTTTAATTTTAAAATTTAAAGTTAAAATAAAAAGAACAAATAAAATTAGTTGACACAGAAAAATAAATATTTAAAAGTCACTAACAAGATAATCATCATAAGTAGCATTCAAGGTTTTTCTTAACCATTGAAAAGCATCCTCAACATTCCATTTTACAATTTTCCTACTTTCAGGAGAAGCATTTCTGCAACATTTAAAGAAAGTGGTTTTAATTGAAAACATCTACTCAACTATTATAATTATTAATCCTACAAAATTATATATTAACATTTATGAAAAATTACAAGATACTATAGAAAAAAATAATTGTAAATATAAAATATGTGAACATCCAGAAGTTTCTGGAACGTGTTTTTGAATTCTGTCACACGAGAGCATATGTCTTGGCAGCCATTAAGATAATGCTAGTTGTTAGTGTAGGTGTGCAATTTTTAGTTCATTATTGGCGACATGCCTTATAAAAGCAGTTCAGATAGATATTATGTGATGGTTGGCTGCCATAATGGCCAGCGTGTTCTTTATAAGTGGTTTGAAGCTGTACACGATGTACACGAAAACACAATACATTGAGATTGTCCATGTATTCAACCATTCTAATGCATTCATTTCCACGTGATGAAAATTTAAGAAAAGAATAGGTAACCAGCCGTGCATGTACATCCAGCTAGATAAATAACTTTGCCATCATAAGACACACAAATCCATACAGAATGATTACTTGCAGATAGATTTGTGATGGCTCCACATTTATCTTAAGGACGTAATTATTTTTCAAGTGGTAAAGCAGATGAAATTTTAATTAATTAATAAATAGTCGCAAAATATTTATGAGAGTCAAGACTCCTATAATTAAGCATTTCTTGGTAATCATAGGCTTTACTTTTAATAAGATATTCAAATATAGCTGGATACTCCAAAGGTGGCATTCTCTCATCTCACTATTCAACAATTTTATAGTACTAATTGATGAAAATAAATTAGAAAATACAAGATTGTAGAAGAAACTTAATTCTATGATATTCTTTGAATATTTTGGGCTACTTTATGAATTAAACAGCAATATAAATATTTCCTGATAGATAATAACAGTGGAATTTTAGTAAAATTACACAAATAAATTTTCCAATTATTTTCTAGAAACAAAATAAAATAAAAATAAAAAAATATCAGGATTCAGGTTTTCTTAATTTTACTTTAAATTTTTTCTAACAAAGAAAAAAAGCACACTACATGCATGGTGGGAAAATATTTTTTAAACTTGTGTAAAAACAATTGAAAACACTCTCTTTATATAAGAAATGAACCTCTTCATAAACACCAGAGGAAATACAATTCACCACATCCAAAAAACCTTTTTAACTCCAGTGATATGTGTTTACACACCAGCGAACGTTTTTGACCCCATCTGGGTCTTCATCAGGTTACGGTTATATGGAATTCGAACGCATGCAGAATGGAACAACAAAACTAAATGAATGTGATTCAAACTTTAGAAAAAACCAAATTTAAGAATAAAATGGAACATTACCCATGTGCCGAAACGACGGTTAAGCACGCGCCACTTCACATTTGTGAAAAGTTGAAAACAGACAAAATATACACAATCCAAACTCATTTACTCAAATCAAAAACATCTTGAAATATATAAAGCAGGATTACGTAGCACATGCATCAACTCCAGGGATGCAGTGGGGATATCTAGCATGTGGAAGTTTTGTTATGAGGGAACCCCATCCCAGTAAATGAGTTTGGATTGTGTATATTTTGTCTGTTTTCAACTTTTCACAAATGTGAAGTGGCACGTGCTTAACCATCGTTTCAGCACATGGGTAATGTTCCATTTTATTCTTAAATTTGGTTTTTTCTAAAGTTTGAATCACATTCATTTAGTTTTGTTGTTCCATTCTGCATGCGTTCGAATTCCATATAACCGTAGCCTGATGAAGACCCAGATGGGGTCAAAAACATTCGCTGGTGTGTAAACACATATCACTGGAGTTAAAAAGGTTTTTTGGATGTGGTGAATTGGACTCTCTTTATAATTTAAAGCATTAAAACCCTTACAATTACTAACAAAGTAGGCATTATCAATGAATTTCTATTAGTAAATTCAAAATCAATTATATTCTCAATTCTGTAGTTCTGCAGTTCCATAGTTCTTGTAATATCTTAATGTCAGTGTGACAGTGGTGTTACAGTATGGGAAAATACACAAACCTCTGAAAACTTGTGGATAACAATAGAAAATTACAAAAATTTGAAAATTCATGATTATAAACTGTTTCAGAAACACACAACTTGTAATATCCAAATATACAAAAATTTACAAAATGTAAAATTTTTATTCATTGCATTAATTATGATAAATGTTGAATATAATGTATTTTCAAATTAATTATAAGAAATTTATAAATATAATACAATGTGGTGAAAAATTATTTTGTCAAAACTTTGATTTTATATCTAACTAATTTAAAAAACATTAGTCATTCACAATTTAAAAAATTTTATTGTATTTAAAATAAATAACAGAACTATATATATTTTTAATAAATTCTGTTATTTAAAAACTATAACTCTGTTGATGACTTAAATTTTTTTGTTTATTTTTTTTATTGTAAAAATTATCCTATTAATGAATCTAATAATCTTAAATTCATTTTTTAATAAATTTAACTAGTAAAACTGAATTCAATTTAAAGTTAAGTGATCTTTATGTAATCAGAAAAATTTAAACTATGACAAACTATTGAAAAATTCACTAAACTTATAAAAATGTTGAACACTAGATACCTGATATTTAGATAAAAATTAATTAATTCTTATAAAAGGATTATTTTTTTTGTGATAGCTTCTTAAATAATGCATCCTAAATCATTGTTTCTTTTATTTTAAAAAATCCATTGTATTTTCAGATTAACTTGGATTTTTACAGTTTACACATTTGCAAAAATTAATAATAAATTTCTAGGATTATGTCATCTTTATGCAAATAATGAATGATTTTATGCAAAAATTTTTGTGATTACCCAAAAGGACTACCAGAGGGTTTGAAGCAGTTAAAACGCTATGGCTACAATACAGTACATATTGTGGAAAATTTGTATCATTGTTTTATTGTGAAAGTGCCGAATCCTAAAATAAAAGGTCGGCATTTTGATCATTTTTAACTTTGTGTAACTTTTTAATAATCAATAATTGTTGTTTTATCTTATATCTTCAAGTCAATTTGCTGTTACTTCTGAGCTGGACTGTGAAAAGGATAAAAAGAATACTCAAAAACAATTAAATTTTTTTATGTAAGTGTTCTAAAGCTGCAAATGAAGATAATCCAGAGTTTATGTCGTCTTTATGCAAATAATGTATGATTTTTATGAAATAAATTCCTGATTTTTCTGTTACTATATTACATGATTAACAAAATTGTTTTTAAAAATAATACAAAAAAAAAAAAGAACAGTACTTTTGTGTTCCTATAAGTGAATTATAGCAAGACTGGAATTCAAGATCATTTACATTGTTTCACTTAAAAAATAAAATGTTTGTTATTGAATATTTTATTAATATAAATTACAAAATTATTAAATGTAAGTAAAACTAAAACCATCTTTATATGTAAACATATCAAAGTATTTTCACATAAAAATATTTGTCAAATATCAGGAGGCATTTTCAGGTATGCAAAATTTTTGAAACATGATATATTCAAGTTTGAAAATTTGAAAAAAAATTCTAATTTTCAAATTTAAAATTTCTTAGAAATATATAAATAAGATTTATTTAACTTTTTAAAATCAAACATTAGCTTTTAGTATCTGAAAAAAAAGTAAAGTATCAAATGGTTTCTATTTGTTTCAAGTGTTACTTTATCAGATATCCAACTGCCAATAACAAATAGATGAGTTATTTCATTCATACAATTTAAAACTTTAATCATCTATTGGAAAATATTTTATTGGATAAAATATAAAAACACATACCGGGATTCAATCATTTTTTTTGCAGCCTCAGCATATTTAGATAACTGTTTCCTAGCATCTCCAGAAAATTTTGGTCGCACTAATTTAATAGGTATGTCATTCATTATTTCTCTAAACATTGATTGTGAAACTGCTGTAGTACAATTATTTGGCAGTAGAGGATCATTTCCTTTATCACAAACTTTGCGTTCCATCAACCAACGATTAAAAGATTCTTTAGGAGCATCAATTCCTTAAAAATATGTCAAATTATTAATACTACTTGCTTCAAAGGAATTTCTCTTAATTATATTATTTGAACTTTTTGTTAATTATATTATTTTTTTACCTTCTCTAGAATGGCACATTTCTTGATAACTTAATCTTAACTTGGTGACAAGATTAGCTCGATACTGTTCAACGTCGGGATGAGGAGGCGGCATTAACGAGGGAGTACGCTCCCAGATGATTACATTTGTGGGAACTTCTAAATCCCATGGTCCACTGAAATATAAATTTCAAAATATTATTTTTATTTTATCCTATTATTAAACTTTCAATGCTTTCTTCAAAAAATAAGTTTAAAAGAAATAGAATTACTAGTAACATTTAATTCTATAAATAATATAAAATTGTACAAATGTCTCCATAGCACAATATTCTATTCAACATTCCTAAAGTTGAGTCATAGTAACACAAAAGCATTAAGTACTAAGCATACAAATTTACAAAAAATTCTTAAAATAAAAGACAATACATAAAAATGTCTTCTAGCATTGTCCTTTTGCATGCACATGAGGAAATTAACAGTTCCACAGCAGAGTCAACCATTTTCTTAGAGGATACTTGTCCACCTCAATATGTAAAACTTTTAAAAACATTCCCCTGGCACTGGCACAGTTAATTATCAAGAATATTTATTATTTTTTAATTGTGCCATTGTCAGAGGGATGTTTTTAAAAGTTTTACATATTGAGGTGGACAAGTAGCCTCTTAGAAAAGGTCAATGCTACTGTGGAACTGTTAATTTCCTCATGTGTGTGCAACAGGACAAAGTTAGAAGTCACTTTTATGTATTGTATTTTTCTTTTAAGAATAGTCCTTAAATTTGTATGTTTAAACTTATTTTCCTGGCAATTTTTATCAATTGCATTAAGTACTAGTTTATATATATAACATCTTCCCAAAGCCCAAAGTATTGATACTAAGCCAAATAATTGCCATAATTAACCAGGCTATTAATATGCTATAATTAATAGTCCAATTAATTACGATGATCATTTGGCTTATTATTATTATTATTATTATTTGCACCATATTTTTATAACAATTTTAAAATATATGTTGACATTAATATTTATTTTATTTATATACATTAATACTTTCATAGAAATAATAATGAACAATTGCATATCGAAGTTTACTAAAGATTAAGATTAAGTGAATCATAAACCTAAAGGAAGGAGAGTAAAGGGGTTAAATCAGTGCTTATGTGATATATTTTTTGCTTAGCATCAAGGTTCTTCGAACGTTATGTGGATAAAATGTGAAAATATTTTAAATAACATTCGATATTACATAGAAACTTTTACATTCAGAACTATTGAGCACATGATTCCATTCTATCTTTCCTATTTAAAAATTGTTCCAAACAACTGTTTTTTTGTATTTAATATTGTTTCAAGCAATTCTTTACCCAAAGAAGGACCCAGGAGGGGTCTGAAAACGTTTGTATTGTTAAATTTTAATTTGCATCAGTTAAACGTTTCTGAGGTACATGTGGTTTACTTTCATAGATTTATTAAATATGAAAAAATATGAAAGAGAAAGGAAAATAATGTTTATAAAACTTCTTTTTAGCTATTTAATCAAGATAATTTGAAAAACGTTTTTAAATGCAGTTTATTAATTTGCAAATTTTCTATGTGAAAAATAAGCAAATATCTCATTTTACTTCAAGTAGGCAAAAATTTCAACCATTAGTGTCAAAAAGTTTTGAAATAAAAATGAATTTTCTTTTCAGGTTCTCTTTAAAGTTCTGTTATAGTTTCAGTTTTTCGTAAGAACTGAAACCATGGTTCTTTAACATAGACTGATTCATCCTTACTCAAAGCACATAACCTTGTAAATAGGCAACAAAGTAACAAATGACTGAACTCATTAGAAACAAAGAAAACAGCATTCAATTTCACTTTTAAAACACAAGATCAATTTCTGCATTTTGATGAATTCTCCCCCATTTATAGGCTTAGCCAAGATGTTACTTCATTATTTATGGCTATTATTGCTGTATTGTTTTTATACTGCAAATTTACCAATCCCATTTCAAATACTAATTGGACATATTCTGCACCTGTCTAAGACCCCCCGAAAAACTGTTAAAGAAATAAAAATAAAAAAACTTGAAGTTCAAGTTTTATGCTGAAAGTGATTAACAGAAGTTATTAAAAAAATAAAAAGAAATCCACAAACAAGTTGAATGACTTTCCTAGCTTTACTAAAAAAGTTTGCAACATGTTCTTTTGACTGATTAATTGCTAAAAGTTATGTTGCTCCATGCTTCATCCCCTTTGTAGAAAAATATTTTAGGACAAAAATCTACATCTACTAGATATGCATTTTTTATTTATTTATATTTATTTAGATTAGTAATTATTCAAAATAAAATTGTGTATGGAACTGCCTGTTATATAATTTATTTTTTAATAAAATCTCATGCTATTAATTATTATAAAAAGGCAAAAGGCTTAATTTTGAGGGTAGAGATGAGTTTAAGAAACTGTGAATGCTAAATAATGTGTAAAATTTTCATTAAGTCTAATGCCCACTTGAGATATGACATGACTATCCCTATCTCCCCACCCCTCAACCATTAACTATCAAAATTTGATAGCATCAATGTCCCTTATGTACAAGTTATCATGTCAAATTTTGTTTCTTAATCTTTACCACTTCAGATATATTAATTAAATGAAGTAGATGCCAACACACAGAGAACATTTTTTGCTGTCTTTTGACATTTTTTGATTTAGAAGAGCTCAAACTGCAGAGATTAAAAAAAAATAATAAAAAAAATAAAAAAACTGGAGTGTCAATTTTGATACGATTTCCTAAAGATGAGAGAGATTATATTTAAGTCTAAATGTGTAATGTAATAAAAAATTCAACAATTTTTTTTCTTTTTCATCTATTTGACTGACATTAATAAAAATGAATTTTAAGTACATTTAAAACACTAAATAATTATCTCACATCATATTTTCAGTTTACTTATGGTTAATCTTCGAATTTCATTTAATTATTAAAAATAACAAAAATTCTTCGGTTTCAGAAATTCCGTCAACAAATTTCAAAATGTCTTATCATATGGATTGTAATATTCAATGAATGATAAGTGAGTATTTTAAATAAAACTTTTCAATTTAGTAAAACAAAACTAATCAACATTTTCAACATTCAATATTTAACAGTTAAAAAATGTGAAATGTTGAATGCATCAAAAGAAATCTGATAGCATTTGTTTCTTAAAAATTATTTTCTCAACTATTTTCTGTATATTTTACATAAAATTTTTGTGACAATTTTTTTTGAGCTCATATAAACCTAATTTTCTTCATAAAAAATAGAAGCACATAAATTCATACATAACAAGTGTCATTTACCTTAATAAGAAACGTTTAGGATTTGGCAATATTCCTTCTTCAGAGCACCTTCTCTTCTCCCCAAATTTAGGACCTGGCTGAGGAACAGGAGTTGGCTGTAATACTGAAGAAGATATAGGTGATGGTACAGGAGAGGAAACTTGAGGATCAGGAGATGATTGAATTCCAAGTGGATCAGTAATGGGATCAAACTGTAAATTAATATATTTTTGATTACTTCCAATGGAAATTTCATAAAGTAAAAAATTAAGTAAATGAATAAATTATTTGAAATGATCTAAACAAATTTTTATGATAGCATGATATTTCACTTGTAAATTAAGCACAGCCATAAGGTCTCAAATAACAATTGGCCAGTCAACAATTTTTATATTTCAGGTGAGTTTTGTCATGCTAATATTAAACTGGATAACAATGACAAAATTTAGATTACCAATTGGTTATTATGTAATATCTAATTATAATTCAAATTCCATTTGAAGAATTGTGCATAGTAAAAGGACAAATGATTGAACTGATTAGTAATTTAAAATACAAAAACCATTAGTTATGCTACCTAAATTAATTCTAAATGTGGGTGTTTGGATAGTGCAATTGGCAGTACAGTCACACATTAAATTAATTAAACAAGACTTAAGGCAGGGATGCACAACCTTTTGTGAAGAAGGGCCAAATTAGAATTAAGTTTACTGACTGGGGGCCAGACCTCCAAGCAATTAATGCGATGGCTGAGATTGGATGCTGGCGGCAATCTTTATGTCTGGTGTAATGGCAGATGTTGAAACAACCAGTAGATTTTTCAAATTCTCTTTGGTTAACCTGTTCCGTGTTTTGCACTTGTTTAAATTCATAAGTGAAAACTTGCAAGCTTGTTTGGCAGTAACTATGTATGCTTGTTCACATACATAGGTACTGCCAAACATGCTTGCACAAAATCAAGCATTGTCTTTCAGTTTTGGAAATGATGTATCTAGCAGTTCTTTGTAGAATGTGAGGAGATTAGAATTTTTGAACTGTGATTTCAATTCATCACTGCACTGGATGTCTATCAACTCAAGTTGNCTTCTTTTTGTTTTTTCTAATACAGTTACAGCTAATATAGATTGTTTGCATATATCTATTCTCTCTGCACTTCTAAACCTTATGACCAAACTGCATTCTTAAGTTGCTTTTCTTCAATCTTTATAATGGCAGTGCATCCAATTCTGTTAGTGTGGTTCTATTTTAATTTTTAAGATTTAGTTTAAAAAATTAAGAACTAAAACTTTTACTTATTTGTCGAAACCGTGTCTTCTTGTCTTCTTGTTTTGTTTGGTTCAATGTCACAACTTGGTGAATTTATTGACACTTCGCAAATAATTTCATCATCAACTTTTAATCCATGTAGATACACATTTTGGGCTTTCACCCCTCTTCAGTCTGTTACATAGATAGGTTATATCTTGTGAACAAAATTTTTAAGTTACATAAATTTTTCCCTACATATCAGTCTCCTATATAGCCAATCAACACTATTAATTTAAAATAATTCTTTGTTTTAGTAACACACACTGATTCCTAAATATCCCTATATAACTACAGTAAGACCCCACTTAACACAGGGGATGCGTTCCTAAATGACAAAACACTAAACGAAACAGCACTAAACAAGGTCATTTTAACATGTAAATAGGGATAGGGGAACATGCAACCGAAAATAAAAAAATTTTACTTTAATTTTAANTTCAACTAAGGAAAATGTACTGGCTTCATGATATTACGACCAAAACATTATTAAGTATACTTTCTATTGTTTTAAGAGTAAAATACAGTAAGACTCCGTTTAATGCGGGGATGCGTTCCTAGACGACAAAACACTAAACGAAACAGCGTTAAACGAGGTCATTTTAACATAGAGTAAATAGGTAAAGGGGAACACGCGATCAAAAATAAACAGATTTTACTTTAATTTTTATATTAATTTGTATAATAATACATGTTAAATAACACATAAACATAAGCACACAGAAATGTATAATAATATATTAATTAGTTCACTTTTTCTATATTAATAGTTCATTTTTTGTGACGAAGGTTGTGACTTTTCTGAAATTCTTGTTTTTTTGCAATAAAGTCATGAAGTTTCATTTGTCGCTTTTTTCTTTCCTTAAGCAAATGTCAGTAGTATAAAATTGCATCCAAAATGCCTCACTTTGCTTTTGCACTTCTTTCAAAATCTAGATCATTCACTATGAAATTTGATCAATGATTTCAGTTATTGTTACCAAATTTTTACTAAAGAAATCTGTAGAGAAATTTTTTAGGTTCTTTATTTTCAGAATCATCGTTTTCCAGTTCTACACGGATTCCTTGTTCTGCCAGTTCTTGAAGGTTGTCATTGACCAGAAACCTGCGGTAACTCCTCAATATCCTGTTCGTCTACACCTCCTAGTCCTGCTGTATCGATTAGGCTGAGTTTGATCAACCTAATGACACAGCAATAGGCTCTTCTCATTGAGAATTCTTCGATACCTTCAGCCATAACTTTTCCATGCTTCATTTGTGCATTTATCAGTTAATTCTTGCCAAGTGAAGCCAATATTGCCTATGGCATACATGATGTTATATTTTTTTCGAAACCGCACCAAACAAACATAGATTTAAAGAAAGTACACCTTTTTGCCACCCTTTTCTGATTGGCTCGTGTTCGTAAATAATCGTTTTATGTATGAATCAATAAAATCCCGCGATAATTTAAATCAAACTAATTTTTTAGCTTTTTTTAAAGACTTCGAGTTGATGGCATTATATTGAATTAACGTTAAACAAGGTTTTACTGTATAACAAAACAAATACAATGCTCACAGTGCAACATAAAAATAATTTAATACAGACATATATGCATATTAGCAACACAATTACACCACATGTCTACTAGTATACAATGGTACCTTGACTTATGAGTTTAATTCATTCCGTGATGGAACTCTTAACTCAAATTACTCATATGTAAAATCAATTTTTCTCATTGAAATGAATTAAAATGCCATTAATCCGTTCTGGACCCAAAACACCACAATTCTTTTGACGATAAGAATTTTAAATAAGAAAAATGTACTTATAAATAATGAATATTGTATTAAAACACAATAGATTGTACTGAAATAAACTGGTTTTGCAGATGTTGCGGTATTCACTGCATAGATAAAGAAAGAAAAAAATGGAAAATTTGAGAAATGAGAGACTGTGGCGCTGCACACAACATGGAAGTGAACTAATGCCTACATCATTCGATCTCCTGTTTTTCTATAAGCTATCCTGTCAGACACTGAAAGAGTAACAAAAATGATGAAATTATGACAGTTTTCCATTTTCTTTTTCTTAATCTATGATTTGCTATGGCATTTTCTGCACCAAACTAGCAGTGGGGTATCTGAAGCTGGCTCAGAACCCAAATTTTAGCTTTCAACTCAAAGAAAAAAAAATCAACCATGAAACAGTGCATATCTTGAAAAACTTATATGTAAAGGTACCACTGTACTGATGTATGTAAACACACCCTGCTTCTGCTCTAACTTAGTAGAGGTGGGCAATCCAGTTCAGTTTCTGGAACTGGAATTGTTGGAACTGTTCTGAATGCTATATTATATCAGAACTGCCTAATCTGATGGACTAAACATGGAATCTCCACAAGTTTTTTGACTGTTGACCCCTTTAAGAATTACTTGACCTTTTATTGATCCCTTCTTTTTGTTTTTTCTAATACAGTTACAGCTAATATAGATTGTTTGCATATATCTATTCTCTCTGCACTTCTAAACCTTATGACCAAACTGCATCAGATTTTTCATACTTGTTCTCTAAGATTTTGTGAAAAATATAAAACTTTCATACTCCACTCATCCCCTAATTTCATATCCTTGACATTTCACAATAAACATAAGAATGGTAGACTAAAATAACCAAACTTTTAATATGGTTTTCATTTTAATGTTTGTCCTTCTTACTTTTTGCCTGGCACTTTCTCTAAACAATATTAAGATAACGGACAAGTTCTGTATAGAAAAGCTTTGATAACTTGTCTAGATACTATCCAATATACTTTCACAGAACAAGTGCTGTTAAAACATATCCAAAGCAAACTTATGAATAATTTTTATACAATAAGTTCCTATTCTTGAGCATTTATCTTGTTCATTATATCTTAGTCAAGCAAATATATTTGGGTTGCACTGATATCAATTGCAGGAAGACATCAACTTTATAATACAAGCAATTCAAGTTATTTAAGAAAAATGGAAATGCATTAATCACTTAAGTTATGTTTGATTTAATTAATTCTTATTATAACAAAAAAGTAAAATATTTTACTTTAATGCTTTTTGATATTAGATTATTTAATATTTTTTAAAATACATACATGTGCAGCACCTCCAATCTGAGGCATTTCCCATAATGATTCATTGGTAATTTTATTGAAAAAATATGGTCTACTTTCTCTTTTACTCCAAAACTTTCTCCATCCAGCTTGCAGTAATTCATGTGGTAAGTCATGAACAGGATCTACAGATCCAAACTGTGGAGGTGACATAAATGGTGCACCAGAAGGAGTTTGTGGTGATGGTACTTGTTGAGAACCTGAAGGTGAAGGTGAATTCAGAATAAGAGGCATAGATGACTGTCTTCGAACTGGAGCCGCAACTGTAAAAATATAAAAATATATTTAAAAAAAAAAAAATCAATTATTATTTCAAATAAATAATAAATAAAATTTACTTGATTTTGAAATATTGGAATTAGCTGTATCATCCCAATTGGATATTTCAAAATGAGTTGCAGAACTTTCAGTTCCACTTCCTGTAGAATTGTGATTTCGAAGGCGTTCATCATCCAGAGAACGATGTCTACCAATTGTTCCTCCTGACATATTGATAAATCTATAAAATATAAATATAAAAACTTAGAAACCTAAATGAAAATAATTAGTTTAAAATAATATTTCCAAATTTATGGGTTACTTTAATTGTAGATGCATGTTATGTATGTATAATAATTTAAGTCACTACTGCAAAATAATTTTTGATACAGTAAACATTAATTTGTTAACTTGTGGAATTTTGTGAATAAAAATTCATAAATTTATTATGAGTTTTATAATATTAATGCATCTATATATTTAGATTTTAACTTCAAAATTTTTATATAGAGCAATCAATAAAAAGTTGCAGTATGCCTCTTAATGCATCTTGAAAAAAATCCAGCAACAAGTTGTGTAACTTTCCTGGCAAGAGTTAAAAATCGTGAGAACTGCCATCAGTTATAAGATTTTCTTTAAAAACTTTTCATATTATTAATTATTATAAAATGGCAAAAAGCTTAATTATGTGAATAGAGATCAATATCATAAAAAATTATATATGCTAATAATAAGTAAAATCTTCATTAACTTGAGATATGACACACAATCCCCTCTATCTCCCCACCCCTTGACATTTGACTACCAAAATTTAATAGCACCAATCTGTTAATGCATAAACACACACACACACACACAATGCAAAATTTCAGAAGTTTTCAATAAAAGACAAGATTTATTAAGCTTCAAAGTGGGTGAACAAAATCATGCCATCACACATACAAAAAAATTCTAATTTTTTTGTTGCATTTCTCAACATTTCAAGGTCCTGAGTTCAAAAATGTAAAAACATTGAGTGGTCATTTTTTGACCAATTCCCATACTTTCCCTGTTATATATTCTTATGTAATATACATCTAAAGTATTATGCATACTTTTCCAGCTGTTATATAACAGCTGGGAAAGTAAAAAGTTACAGTTAACTGTTTATTTTTTATTACATACTTTAAGATTACTAAATAAAGTTTTAAAATACAATAAATCAGCATTCATAAAGTATAGTAGATAAATTGTTAGAGAGAGAGAGAGAGAGAGAGAGAGAGAGAGAGAAACAGTTTTATTTAAAAAAGGAATATTTTTCCCCCCTAAAACTTTGCATATTTTCTTCTCAATAATTTCTTTTCTTTGCATAAAAAAATGTCATAGTTTTTGCATAAAACAAGATTATGTTGAATATATACTAAATTGACAATTACAATTTAAGCCAATAAATGTACTGTATTGTCCAATGATATTGTAATAAAGAAATAAAATTTTTTTATTTTTTAAAAACATGTTTATAAAATTTAATATATCCTGAAAAAGTTTTGTTTGAAAGTACAAATTATGTGCCATTAATATAAAAAATTACAAACCTTCCTATTAAACATTCAATACTTGCTATAAAAAAGTATCTTACCAAGGACTGAAAAACTAATTTAAATTAAAACAAAAGCTAGTTAGATAAAAACTGGATATTAGAAAATAAACATAACATGCAAGTGAAGCATGCAATGCCATAAGGCCTGCACATAAATTTGACTTAGAAATACAATCACTTATACTGCCATTATCACAATATTTTTTGCAGCAGAAAACATTGCATTTTGAACTCATTTCTTCAATAAAATGTATTTAGAGAAAAAGGTTGCATGCTTCAAATATAAATTATTTTTACATTTTTATGCATATAAATTTATGCCTTTTGCCAAGACACACAAACTGACATGCAATTGATCCCAGTATTATAGAAACAACTTTCATCAACTGTAACTTGACACCACATCCATTCACTATAAGCAATTCCATACAGCTGTTGGAATTACATAATATATCATTATGCGAGGAAGAGTATACAACTGTTACAGACTTCCACACTCTTTATCCATCCATTAAACTTCCACCATGTTTCAGTCAACTCAGAGATTTTCTGCCACACAATGTTAATTCAGAACACAAACATGATTCCAACATCCTAGAACACACATTTGTTAACATATCCATTTTTGAGTTTGACAAGGTCTACATATGCCTATGGTAGCCCTACATTGAGTATGTTATGTGAACTGGTTCCGAGACATTTGGAGAACACAGTAATATATTTGTGCCAACAAACTATTCTTTTGAAAATTATACAGAAAAGAGTTTTTTTTAATTAAAACCCTGCTTTCAATTGAATACACTGATTCAAGATTCAACTCAATGGATTTCATGTAGATTATCTCCATTAATATTCAAGTTAATTAAAATAAGTCAAATTACTAAAATTCAAGTTAACTCATCAGACATAATCCCCATACTGACAAGTGGTTCAAAAGAACTGTGTTCTGCTCTGAATAGTTCTCCTATCAGGATGTCAGTGATTAGAATATCAGTCTTTGTAATTATTAGCTGCAAAAGAGGTATTGCCACCACATATATCCAACTCAAGAATCATGTTCATATATTCTTGACTGTTGTATACAGTCATATCAGCTTGTTGTATGCTTATCATGAACTATCAAATCAAACTATGAAAAACCATTTTTCATAGTTTGATTTGATAAGCATAAGAGAAGAGTAAGAATAACACAAAAAACAAAAAAAAATTTAATAATAATAAATAAAAATAAAAAATATCAAGAGTGTTTAATAATAAAATAAAGACACTGAGTTCAGCATTACATGCATACTAGGGTTTCTCATTTCCTGGTCTTTTGCTTGTCCCGGGATAGAATTAATTATTTTTAAGGTATACAAAATATCTTTAAATCAAATGATATAATTATTTTCCATTTTTTAAAGTAATTTTAAAGTTCTGTAACCTCCAAAATCATATTAATAATGCTGTGTAAGGTCTATAGGCCTATAATAAAAATTACCTTTAAATAACGTAGAAATTTTCACAAATAGAAAAAAATTAATTAAAGTTTGCTGGAAACTGCATA